GTGGACAGGACCTCCAGCCTATGCTACTCTCTCTGCTTCTAGCAGAGCTTCTCACATCCTGGCAGAAGGAGGAGTGGGAGGCACTGTGTAACCTGACTTACTAGGTCCTATAAACTAAGGCTGGTGCAAACCATCTCCAATAAACTGCAAATGCACCCAGTCCTGATGTGGTCTGACCACACACAGCAATTTTGTGGAGTGGTGGTGTCAGCCCTGTCCATTGTCTTTTTGATAAACTACAGAACCACTCCCACCCTCACATCTCTTCAAGATAAAGGTTATTCTGTAGCCTAATATAAGAACCAGGAGGGCTCTCTGTTATTTGGAGGATCCTTATGCAGATACATGGACAGGCTTAATGCTGCAGCATTAAACACATGAAATCCTCCCCTCCAGGAATAGGAATGCGGTGTGACATCGCAGCGAGCGATAAGAGACCCACCAGTCTGTACAGAGGCCGCCGGGTGGGCGGGGCGAGAGGCCGGGCCTTGCGATTCATTGGAGGGCTCTGACACTGAGCTCCTCGCCGCTCCGCCCTCTGTAAGCAGGTTCACACCTGCCTCCCATTCCACGCCCCTTGATTCGTTCCTTCTCCCCTATGGCCTTGAGCGGTGGGCGTGGCCATCGTTCTGGGGGAGGGCGTGTCGAAGGATTCGGGCCGGCCGGGCGGCGGTGAGTGGCGGTATCAGGATGGCTCCGGCGGTGGACAGGCCCGGGTACTGGGGAGCTCCGAGCTCCACGCTGGAGTGGTGTGAGGAGAACTATGCCGTGTCCTTCTACATCGCCGAGTTCTGTGAGTACCGGGACGGGTCACGTGATGTGTGCCCGCCTGAGGGGCATGTGCACCCAGGGGCCCCTGTGTGCTCAGTGCCGGGGTACAGTGTTCAATGTGGGGAATGTCTGTTACTACATACCCGGGGAGTATAGTGTGCGTGCCCATTGGGTGTACAGTGTATGTATATGGTGTGTACCCAGGGGGTGTATAGTGTGTGCCCAGGGGGTGTATAGTATGTGTATATGGTGTGTGCCCAGGGGGTGTATAGTATGTGTATATGGTGTGTGCCCAGGGGGTGTATAGTGTGTGTCTAGTATGTGTATATGGTGTGTGCCTAGGGGGTGTATTGTGTTTATAATGTGTGCCACTTTAAGTAGAAGTCAAAAAGACAAGCACAAGTTTAATGCCCGGTGTCTATAGCGCCAGCCCGCTCTGTGCCCGGTGTCTATAGCGCCAGCCCGCTCTGTGCCCGGTGTCTATAGCACCTGCCCGCTCTGTGCCCGGCGACTATAGCGACTGCCAGCTCTGTGCCCTGGTGACTAGCGACTGCCAGCTCTGTGCCCGGTGACTATAGCGTCAGCCCTAAACTGTCCGTGCCTGCTACAAGATTATTTCTACCACGTGGACTATGGTTAGAGGGATGAGGTGTTTACAAACCCAGATATTACCGGGTAAAAAACAGTGACATCATCACTGCAGAGAAAGGAGCTGTGGGAGGGACCCAAAAGGCCTCACCCACTATTACAGGCAGGGGGAGACAAGACCAGTCACCCTGCACAAGGAGAGAGAGCAGCAGTGAGCGGTCTTTATTACAGGAAGCTCTAGGTGTCACACGGGATTACTGTACAGATCTGGGAGAAACACACAAAGCTCACCCAGATTCTGGGAATGAGTCACATGACTCTTGTATGAGGACAATATTTACTTATCTGAGAGTTCAATAAAAAAAAAAGAAAGGGATTTGGTATTGGGGGGTGGGGAGTTCCCCTACTTTCTATGTTGGTGACATTGACATGATAAGTCTGAACATGGATGGCTTTCCTTGAATATAGTGGTCAGGTGACTGGATATGTCGCTGCCTGATGCCGGTGAGTAGTACGAGTCACATGGAATCTCCTTGTAGAGGGAGATAATCAATGTTCACATGCAGTGCTGGTTAATAATTGATGATGAGGAGACATCACCGACACAAGCACAAATCGTTACAAGTCATTACATCCTCCATGACTACACGCCTGCCACGTCCCAGCGCCGCGACGTGCCTGTGCCATGCCGTTCCCGTACCATGCCTGCGCCATCCCTGTACCATCCTTGCGCCGTGCCTGTACAATCCCTGCGCCGTGCCTGCTCTGTCCTTGTGCCGTGCCTGCACTTTTCCCGTGCCATGCCTGTGCCGTCCCCGTACCATACTTGAACTTAATAATCGGCTAACCGATTTTGAAAATAATCGTTAGCTGCAGCTCTAGTCATGCCTGTGCTGTCTGTGTATCTTCCCTGTGCCATGCCTGTGCTGTCTCTGTATCTTCCCTGTGTCATGCCTGTGCTGTCTCTGTATCTTCCCTGTGTCATGCCTGTGCTGTCCCCACTCGGTAAAGTACAAAGCTCGGTCCTGTTCTACAGGTAGTGCTCGCTGTGCCACTTACATGCCGGTGACCAAACCTGGCTGACCACATGAGTAGTCATAAAGCCATGTACTAGCCTGGGAGGGGGGCTCACTTTATTGTTACTTGTCCATAGAGGTTAGCACCCATGACCTCCAGCATTGGGGCCCCGGGCTTCCCTTCCACTAGGGCCCACATGTAGTCAAGTCCCCCCTGCGGCTGTGTATGTTTTTGTCCACAATGGAAATAACGCCAGTGACGTAATTGGCTTCCATTGAACGATGAATGACTGTGAGCGTAGCAGGGAATTTAGATCGTAAGCTCTTTGGGGCAGTCGTGGCTGGTTCTGTGTAACATGTTGCAGAACGCACAGGACAGCGCAGCGTGCGCCTCTGGGAGTCATGCCTGTGGCTGCCAGAATCTTGCAATGCCGCATGGGATTTGTAGTTTCACCACAGCTGGAGGGCCGAGGTTTCCTCCTCCTGTCATTAGATAGATTTTGGTAAATCTAAGGCCGCGGTGGGCAACTCCGGCCCTCCAGCTGCTGTGGAACTACAAGTCCCATAAGGCATTGCATGCTGGGATTTGTAGTTAAAGCACAGCTGGGGGGACGGCGGTGCCCCCCGATCTACAGAGATCAGATGGTAACGTGTGTTGAGCGTTGGCGCAATCTGCTCGAATAATTACTGAATCCGGTAACGTTCGCCGCGAGGATACATTACCGGGGCGGTGTGTCCGATGGGTACAGACGCCAATGATGGGCGAAAAAAACAAAACCACATCTGCAAATGTGTCAGTGGTTAGAAGTAACAGGAAACGCGGCTGTGCGCACAGTGGTTCTCCCCCTCCGCTGCAGCAGTCTAGGGATCCTTCAGTCATCATGTCCAATATAATGTATAGTTCAAAGTGGGCTAGTGTACAGGGGTGTGGAAATGTAAAAAATAAACGACTTGTCCAAGGACTAAAGCGGGGGACCATCTACTTGTCCTGATACAACAAATCATTTTATCCCAAACTATATTTTACTGCCCTAAGAAACGCTTCTCATTGGTCAGCGCCGTCACCTCATTGCTGCCCGGCTACCTCAATATGTGTACAGCCGCCCAGATGACTTGTACAATCCGGCTCCCCCGCTCTACATTTATCTCTGCTTGTCCGCAGTAGGACTGAATGTAAAAAAAAAACCCCCACCTGCCCTGTACCCGGATCTCCATGCCCCTGGCATCGAACAATAGGTTTTCCGCACCCCTGAGTGCAGCATGCTCAGTAATGTGTCTGTGTAACACTTACAGGTATCTATCACCTCTCACAGCGATCACATGACACCCCCCGACAATGCCATCCTCTGCTTCTCTCTCCAGAAGGAAGGAGCCATCTTTGTGCGGACATCGCCCAGGGTCACAATCTACTTCCTGCACTGAGATGACACAATCATGTAAATGCCGGTGTCTCGCGCAGCTCTTGGCTTTGTTCACAAGTGCAACGCTTTAAAAGCCCCGGGCAGGTCATCAGTTTAGAGATATCCATGAATATTGGCCCTAGAATGATTGCTCTCACATTGGCGCACGCGGTGATACCTAACATGTGTAGCGCAATCATCATTTTCATACGTAGGCGCACCCGACGCATTTCTTTAGTATGTATGCGTTTGTGGGGGACTTTAAAGGAGAACTATGGGCTTAAGTCTTTTCCCCATAGTTCTCCTTAGGATAACGGGAGGACACAAACTAGCGTCCTCCCGTCACCCTAGACTCAGTATACATAGCTACTGCTCGCGGTATACTAAGATGCTGAAGCGGATCCCGATAATTATGTCTCGGTCCGCCGAGCTGCGTGACTGACAGCTGGCTCTGCCTATCTAGAGGCAGAGCCAGCTGTACCCGCCCCCTCCCCCGTCCGTTCCGCCAGTCAGCGCTGGCAGATGGGAGGGGGGGATCCAGCCCCTCCCCTGTCACGGCAGAGAGCCGTGACAGGATCGAGAGGTGAGCGAACGCCGGTATGTGTTCGCTCACCTCCCGATCTACTGAGCCGACCTGTGACAGTCTCATTGCCACGGGTCGGCTAGAACTATGAGGTGAGTGAAAAGCACTCCCCTCATAGTTCTCCTTTTAAATACTTTTTGGTATTTTACTTTATTTTTTAATTGCTAAAACAGAGGGGGGCTCACAAACCCCCTGTGTGATAGCATACTAGTGGTGACAGGTTCTCTTTAATGTGAAATTATGGGTCTATTAGACCTCTAGTGTCACCTTTCCTCTAGGGAGATCAGGCGCAGGTCAAGCTTGAATAACTTCTTCCCCGGCTTCTCTATCTGGGGAATGACAGCACAGGAGCCGGAAGTGATGCGGTCAGCGTCGCTCCCAGCTCCATTCAGCGGGGAGGAGATTGGTAAGACCTCATTCACACACAATGCAAGCAAAATTGTATATTGCGTATATACGCGTCTATGCACGTGTATATACGAGCGTCTATGCCTGCACTATATGCAATCCCAGAATGCATCACTCGTAATGGAATTTTGAATGTGCTGTACGCATGCATGCGCGTATATGCGCAGAAATACGCTGCCCGGACGCATCTCTGTTCCATTCTGTTTTTGCGCATATATATACGCTACGCAAATATACGGCTCCATACGCAGCTGCCATTTATTTGCATATGGTACAATATGCTGATCTCACACTTCCCGCTGACGCCCGTGATGCCGGTCTCGCAGGAGGGGCAGCAGAGCCCAGGAAGCAAGGCGGGGGTGTTGGACGGGGGAGG